GGGCCTCTCTGCTTTGCTTTATTCCTCTTCTAGGACATGCTGAGCCAGCTCCTACCTCAGGAACTTGACCCACGCTCTTCTCCCTCCCCCACCCCGTGTGTGTGTGTGTGTGTGTGTGTGTGTGTGTGTGTGTGTGTGTGTGTCTCAAATATGCAGTGTCCACAGGTAATCCTAGCATAAGAACAAAGAAATGAAAGTAATGATCCTCTCTGCCCTTCAGGTTATTCCAAAAACTGTGCAATAGATTGGATTACTGAGATGTATTTCTTTTTGATGTTTTGTTTCTGAGCCTTCTAGCCTTTCATCATCTCACCAGCCCAATAAATGTATTTTTTATCTTTCAGATAATGCCATATTTGGATAAAGTACATGTCCAGAGACCACACAATAAATTCTCTTCCATCAGTCTTCAATGTCTGTGAATTATTTAGAAATACTATGAAAGAAACTGGCCTGGTGTCATGGTGAGCACCTGTAATCTCAGCACTCAGGAGGACAGTGAACTCCAGGCCAGCCTGGGCTATATCTCAGGCCCTTGTCCCTAACAGGGCTGGGGACGTGTGATAAAGTAACATCAGAGCTGTGTTTTCACTTCCCAACAGTAGATAGCTAGTTTCGAGTAGCTTGAAGGGTGGCCTCCTACTTTCATGAACTTGGACACTAAAAGAAGAAATGAAACTCTTGGTTCACAGCAGAGAACTCGGGCTCTAGCTGATTCTCTTCCCCCAGTCCACTGCCTCCGAACCCTCAGGGCTAGACAGAGCTGCCAGGTAGACAGACAGACACAGGTTTGGCTGCACGACGGAGGACCTCTGCTGAGCATAAACAGCCCGACCTTTGCCTATAAGGAGACTTTATCTTTATTGTATGAGGTGACCAGGCCTATCTCTGCTCCAGGGGAGACCTTATCTCTGTCTTCTGAGGCGATCACCTGGTATCAAGGCTATCAGAGCCTCTGCCCCCTGCCTGGACAGAAACAAGAGACCAGATCTACTGAGCTTGTGCCCTAAGAGTCCAATTAGAGATAACAAGGCACAGTGTTCTCTAGGGACGAGCACAGAGCCGCGAATGCCAGGTTATACACAGTCGTTGAGCCCCTCCACCTCCTTTCCCTGACCCCATCCCCCACCCCCCTCTCCCACCTCTCCCTCTCCCCCTCTTCCCCCTCTCCCCCCTCTCCCCCCCCCCCTCTCCCCCTCCCCCCTCTCCCCTGTAGGTATGTCTCCGCCTTCGTAGAACTGGTTGCAGTTCTCTGAACTTGCCTCTGTCTCTGAGCTCCCTCCCCTCCTGTGGTTCATAATTCCTTCCTTCGGCCCTTCCCATTAAATAGTTCTACTTTGCCCTGTGTACCCTATAGCAGTCTTAAGCTAAAGCCAGAAACTCAAAAGTACAGTTGTCTTTGGACTCTGACCCTGAGACGGCAGACATCCTCTCACCTCCCAGGAGTGCTTCCTATCCGTCAGTGACATGTGATAATGCCCTGGCTTCCTGCGGGGGCCCCAGTTGAGCCCACAGGATTCTCGATGCTTCCCCATGACTCTGGGAAGGACATTAGTGTTGTGGCATTGTCACGGTTGTCACAGACAGCTGGTACTTCCTAAGCTCCTACTGACTTCATGTACTTTCCCAGAACTGCAGTGTGCCCAGAGAGATGGGATGGCAGAGCTGGAGGCCAATCAAAGCCATCCAGACCATGACCATCTAAGTGGACTTCTGAACGAGAAGGGCCTGGGTCAATATAAGGACTGGGTTGATTCCTCAGTATGGATGGGCTGTGTGAGAATACACAGACATAAAGGCCCTTACTCAAGTTTGTCTTTTTCCTTGAGTAGAAGAGACTGCACTTAGGAGCAGAGGATCTGCACATTTCTCTCAGAGATTTTGCTGAAAACACTCTTCATATTATGCCTCCTTTGTAGGTTCTTCCTCCTCTATGAGCCTGTGAGACTGGTTACAAAGCATCTGAACCTCAGACATTGTTCCTAGGCTGGGGCGGTGGCACACACCTTTAACCTTGGCACTGAGCAGGCAGAGGCAGACGAGTGTTCAAGGTCAGCCTGGTTGGTGTACCTAGTGAGCTTCAGGCCAGCCAGGCTTACAAGGGGTTGGGGGCGGGGAGGGGGGGCAGGAATGGAAAAACAATTCACTGCAGCCACATTGGGAGGAAGTCAAGAGGCCATCATTAGGGTCTGTGCATGGGGGTTAGAGTTAAACAGAGTGGAAACGTATGTCTAAGTAAGTAGACCTGGTCAAGATGTATTCTCACTCACCATTGACACATCACTGTCTAGGCTCTGGTCTGTCCTGTAAGGTGATCTGACAAGTTGTCAGACCTGTATAATTTCTTCTTGAGAGAGAAGTTCCTCCTCTAGCTGGCACCAGATTAAAGGTTGTGATTTCTGGGGAAATTCCAGTTCCTTGAGGTTCACTGTTTTAATATTCTGATAGCCAGCTAAAAGGACGGGTACAATTGTCTCTTTATAATAATGCAAGTCTTGGATGGGGGTCCAAGGGGACATCGGGACAGACTGTTGTGTCATTAATAAAGGGTGATCAATGTCTCGGGCTGATAAGAGCATGGCAGGGGTTCTGAGGAAGGTTCGGTGACGTGGTGGGGTGCTGAAGAGAGGAACAGGACCCCCGTGGCAGAGGTGGAGGTCTCTGCTTATCTCTGAGGACAGCGGAAGTTTCACAGCACAAGCCTGTAGCCAGGCTCTGATCCCCAGGCAGGAGGCAGGACAGGGTGGGGAGCGGGATGAGTGGTTACCAGCACCCCTTTGATGTAAGCTCACTCCCCCAGAAGTCTGAGCTGGAGGTTCACGGTGTTCTCTGCAGGGGCCGTGGTATCTGTGGGGGAGGAGGACTGCTGTAGGTACTGTGACCCAAGCAGCAGATGGATTCTAACAGTCTTAAAAATACCTTCGCAAGATGCCAGGACTGGGACAGTATCTCAGTGGCTGCCATCACCCCATTCAAGCCTGTCACACTTCACTGTGCCCTGACTTCTATGCTTAAGCACAAGGTGACAGGCTTCCTAATTTCAAGAACCATTTAGCAGGTGTATGGACAAGCCCGGTCAGTCTCTTTTCTCCTGTTATCTTCTCCATCAGTGAAACCAGCAAACATCTCCATCCTGCATCACAGAAGCCTGCTGCTCACTTCCTTAAAGATACGCTTTATTTGCCAGGTACAACTGCTTAGGAAGCTGAGACAGCATGGCTGAGCCTAGGTGTTTGGGGCCAGCCTGAGCCACATAGTGAAGTGTGTCCCTTTAAGGTGTGGGGGAGGAATATCTCAGTGCTCTCACAACTGCTGTTTCTTCTGGAAAAGGCCCTTTCCCTGTACAACTCAGATCTGGTTCCTTCTTACCGCGGCACACCTCAGCTAGGACACTGTGCCCAGAGGCACACTGACTGCCACATCTGAAGTATATCGAACTCTGCCATGCACACACTAACTTAAGTATTCAAAGACAAAAATCCATGGAGCATCTTCTTTATTCTGAAGAATTTTAAAATTCATTTTACATACCAACCACAGATTCCCCCTCTCATCCTTCCTCCTGCTCCCCGACCAGCCTTCCCCCCTCCAGACCCACTTCCCATTCCCTCCTCCAACAGGGTAAGGCCTCCCATGGGGAGTCAGCAAAGCCTGGAATATTCAGTTGAGGCCTCCCATGGGGAGTCAGCAAAGCCTGGAATATTCAGTTGAGGC